TGGGGCTAGAATAGCACTATTATGCATTGCCTCGCATTATGATTACGTTTTATATAGTAAGATTCATGTATATTTAATCACATAATGATTATAGATTATATTACTCTGGAGTGTATATGGAGATATAAAAACATCATTTAAGTGGTAAAGACTTTACCTGCTAACGGCAAGTTACTCCCTGTGAGTGTGCTATGTATTTTTTTAATGTTCATTAAACGATATACGCAAGAGTCACCTTATTCATCAAGGTATACCAATAAGCTGAGGTACAGCATTGAGTTCAGAAACCAACTTATTTGATACTATGTGCTTAGGTAAGTAATTGTTTTGCTTGACATTTATACTATGTGATCTTAACAAACTCTGTTTTGTTTAATATTAAACACCACTATTAAGAAAGTCATAACTTTCCTCCACTTTTTTTAAGGTGTGGAAGTTTTGATATACCTGAATATCTAAGATACCTGTGCCCAGTGGAAATTATAGATAATACGATATATACGAGTCTATTCTAATCCCACTACAAATTTACTTCTTGATGTCGATATTTACTTAACTTGATTAAAAGCATAGTAAATAAGGTTCTTAATGTAAACAAAACCAAAAGATGTGATCTTAGAACTATATAAGATAGGGTAAAAGAACTAAAGCATGAAGATCACCTATATGTTCCATATAGAATTTTGTTTGTCAGTGACTTTGAACCTTTGATGGATACCATAAACTGAATAAAATAAATATTTAGGTGTTCGATGAGATATTTCACTGTGATCCAAAAGTTGTAGCAATAAACAAAGACATCATTGATATAGGATAAATATACTATAACTTGGTAGTTCTCTAACAGCATTTCCGAGCTTCAAGTTTATAGCATAATAGAAAAATAAAACGTAACGTAGGAAATGCATTATGTTCTACGTTTTATCATTTCATTATTATTAATATAATCCTTATATGATAAATTGTAGTGGGAATTCTCACTCATATTAATTTATATAAATTTTAGTTACCATAATACTCAATGTTTTTACTAACAGATGATATTTGCAGTATGGACTTAAAAAAGCGTTATAAGTGGGGCTTATCATTAATCCAGAGAAGAGTTCACGTTCAGTTAGGACAGTATGAAACTACTCTAACATACCTATAAGCATAAATATAAGATCATCAGTGATCAGTGGCTAAATTTATTTTTTTTTGTCTGTGAATTCCATAAGATGTATTTATATAATGTATGAAATACACTTTAATATATAAATTGTAAAATAACATAAATGTATCTCAGTAGAAAATTAAATATTTTATGCCTACATTTTAAGATATATACACTTTAGAAGTAATATCTAAATTATTACACGTGGAATACCTAAAAAGTATTAAAGTTTCTTAATCCTAATCATTTTTTTTGGTCTTTTTATTAAAATAGAGTTTTTAACTTTGGTGTCCTTTTAACCATTTACTATAAACATACCTTAAAAGCTTGCTAGCTTTGCTGACTTGAGTTATGAACAAGTGAAAGTGTAAACAAACAGGATGACATCAACATCCTTTAATAAATATACACTTACTTGACATCTCTACCAATGAACCGTTGCCATAAATTTTCGGTTGTTTAAATAAAATCTTTGGTCTTCATAGACGGTACTAAACAGTAAAAGATTTTTTCTGTTAGCCTTTCTTTGCTGCCCAAAAATTTGCACACCCAAAACCACTCACGCAGACACACAAACATAAGCCATAGCAAAATCTAATAAATCTACTCCTTCGAAAGGTCACGCTGCACAATGTTTGGTATCCAGTGCTCTCAATATTACAATATCCTGTGCTCGGCTATGAAAAATAACAAGAATTGCCAAATATAATTCATCATTTCTTTTGTGTACACAATTGCTTGTTAGAGTTATTGAAATGTATTTATTATCCTTTAATCATACTTTCGGGTCAACATGGATTAAGACGGAAAATACGAGATGTGAGTTGACTAAAATCTTTACGCTTTCGATGTGAAGGAATTGAAATCAATGAAATATTACAGAAGTTTTTTTTCAGCAAATATACAGTAAATAAAATAAAGGGAATATTTTTTATAAATATGTATCATACATAATACTCAAATGTATATATAAATTATATTATATGAACTTCTTTATAAATTAAATAGAAGTATGAATATACTTGGAATTTTTCTAATTTAGTTTTTGAATTCAAAGAAAATTATTAATTTTTGAAAAGCGATTGATTACTCGAAAAAAAAACGTGAGAGATATAATAAATAAAAATTGATAACCTTAAAAATCCACACCTGTAGAAGAAAACGTAGTATCGAAGGAAAATTAATGAGCTTATTTTGAAAATATTGTTTTTTTTCATTGAAAGACATTTAATTGGAGAAAATTTGTGCATGGAAAAAATTATTGTATAGAATTTCGGTATTAGTTTTTCAAATAACAGCAGTCTCCAACTTTTTAAAAAATTTAATTGAATTACATGAAGTTTAAGAAAACTTTGAGTCATCATATCCCAATGTAAAACAGTGGATGACTGACTTCAGAAGCACAGATAGGATGAGCAATTTATAGAGCGTAAGTTATGTTCGTCATGAGAATGCTCTACATCCCAATTCCCTACTGAGCCCATAGTAGCACCAATTGACAATGGTGATTCTTCATCAGTTTTTCAGACTGACATCGTTGCTAATGAAATCATTAACAAATTGTAAAGTTTAGTCGCAAGCCATCAGCTCGAAATCCGAGCGATGCACATTTCTACCAGTAATCGACATATACTTCGTTTTGCCCTCATTCACCGGTAAGACTACTTTCGCAGATTCCTTTTCGATAGCAGCAAAGGCAGTTGTAACATCACGCTTGCTATGAAGTCGAAGTCGTCGGCGTATGCAAGAAGCTGTAGACATTTATTGAATATTGTGCTATTACGAAGAACACCTGTCCTGCCCATGACGAAATTATATAAATCACATGATAGGGGATCACCTTATCTAAAGCCTTGTGCGATATGAAAAGGTTTGGAGAGTCAATCCTACCTTGTATCATTGGGAAAGCTGTATCGAGTTAAGTAAATATTAAGTCGAAGTATAAACAATACAATGTTTCAAAATGTTTCTTTTTATGTAGGGCGGAAAGCTTTTTGAACATCCTAAGTATAAAAATCTTTTTCTGTGTTATAAAAAACGCCGTAGGAAAATCGAACATATAAAATTCAGTGACAATCTCAGATTACTTTCACATGTGCTGTAGGATACCCTGCGCTAATTCACATATGAAATAGGCTCCTGGGAGTGTATATTTTTACGGAAGAGGCAATAAAACTCTGTAAAGTAGATTTTATACTACTTTTTATTGACGCAACAGTGTTTAGAGACCTATTCTAAACCTAGAAGATGGCACAATAGACCCGACGGTCGCAGTGCCACATCCCCTTACTATAATAATAATAGATTACTTTATTTGTATTAAAAGCTTTAGGTTAAATTGTCATTGTTAGATTTTTTGTTAATTTAATTTATTAATTTTAAGACAAAAATTATTTAAATAAATATCAGCGAAAACAATTATTTATTATTTTTGCTACAAGATTTTTTTTCTTGAAACAATTAACAAAATAAATTAATAAATAATTTAATTCTTTTAATTTTTTTTTCATTAATTATAAAAATTGCGAAAAAAAGTAATAAAAACAAAAACAACGAATCACATAGACACAATTTTGTAGATTTGCAAAATGTTTTGATTAAGTTGGGAGAGTGGAGAGTGAACATAACATAACATACGATTGTTTATCCGGTATTATTGTTGTTGTTGTGTATCTGTGGAGAAAATCAAAACAAAACCAAAAACAATCGAAAACGTACGAAAACTGATTAAGTTTGCTTATCACAGAACAACAGCATTAGAACTTTTATTATTGTTTCTTCTTGTTTTTTTCTCAGATTATTTGCACTTATCAGTAGAAAAAGATTTCATTTATCTGCAAAGTTTTAGTATCAAAACTTAAACTTTTTATGTAGAATTTAATAATTTTATATTTATTTTACACATTTTTCATAATTTAATTGATCGAAATATATTTTTTCTGGTTTGCAATTTACCTCTAAACTCGCGTTTTGGCAAAGGTCGATAACCGTACACGCCTTTTTTACTATGATAACATCGCCGAAAATGACGTAAAATCGCGTTGCTGTGGGGATTTTTTAATTGATGGAACAACATATTTATTTCTGATAATCTAATAAATAAAAAACTGATTAAAATCTAAATATTAGATATATTATTAACGGGCTATTGCGTCTTATATGCGAAACAAACTTAACGGGAGCACGGCCGAAACAATACTGTAGCCCCCCATAAGCGAACATTATCATTATAGCGGCTTCGTAATATCTTCTCATATTTGATATTTGTATTAAAAAATTCTTTCTAAAATTAAGTGCATGAATTCTCTATCTTTTATTATGGAATTATTTCTGCTCTGAATTGTTAAGCCACATAAAAACTCTTTCAAAAACAAGAAGATTGTGCTCTTTATTTTTATTCATTCACTTATTTATCAGATAGACCCAAAAATATACTATGAGAAATACTATTAGTAAATCAAAGATTTTGTTTATAATAAAATTTTAGGCGATTTTTATTTGAGCAGTAAAATAAAAATATCTATAAAATAAATAAGACCTCTACGAACAGAACAGTATTGAAATTTTACAATTAAAAATAAAAATATAATTAATTAATTCAATTATTCTACAGCTGGTGTGTGATTTCGTTCTAATATAAACATAGTGAATTTGTTAATAAAACTTTCCCAACCAATTAACAAAACTCCAGCAAAATGTCTAAACATAAAAAGTCAAGTACGGCTTTGGGTCAGTTAGCGCTGACTTTGGATCAGTTAGCGCTGACTCTGAACTTCAAATTTGGCAGGGCACAAGCTCGATTCCTATAGTGCTTGCAATCTCCAAAAAATTATTTACGATTAATTAAATACAAGAATTGTCTCCAAGACCGCTGATGGTAGGTATTTGGGAATACTCGAAGCAGTTGTATGGTCAATTAAAAAATTCAATTAAATAAAATAATATAAAATAAATTTTTGTTGTTGTAGTTCACTACTCTTCGAAAAGCCTCTTTATAAATATTATATATAAAAATTCAAAGATATTTTAAACATAAACTTTTTAAGAAATATTGCTTGAAGCTATACCATCTGAATGAGTTAGTTTACTATAAAGTCAACATAAAGTTTATATTAGGAAAATTAATATAGTGTATTTACAGTAATCACTTAAAAGCATGTATTGATAAAAATTTATTAATACTTATTTCAATAAATTTAGATCTCAATTTCCTTAGACTGAGTTTGGTAGATACAAATGACACATCATTTTAGACTTATGAGTGAAGTCTAATTGTTCTGTGATACCAGTGATTCCTTTATTATCGGTTGAAGTTGTAACGAACGGTTTCGTTGTCGTCGTTGTTTTTTTTGTTTATACTTTATTAGTTCTAATAAAATTAGTTCTAATTAGTTATTAGTTCTAATAAATAGTTCAAATAAAAATATACAATATGTTAGTACTAAATATATTGTAAAATTTACATACACCAAATAAAAATAAAAATAAATTTACGTTATTCAGTCATTGTCATTCGACTAGGAATTCTGTTGGAAGAGAAGCAATAGTTATTCTTGGAGTCGTTGAAATCGTATTCCTTCTGGCACATGAAGACGTAGAACCATGGTATGCTATGCTTTTCTGTTTTTTCTATTATTAAAATATTCCCTGCGCACCGTGACGTAAATACCGCCGTTGTGCTTATTTAAATATTTAAAATATAAGTATTAATATTATTAAACAAAACACATAATTATTTTTACTAAAAATAAATATAGTATGTATACTATATATTTAGTTTAATATATTTCTTAATAAATATATTATAAATATATAAATTCATATCATTTTAGATCATATCAAAGTGCTACAACTGTGTAGATGCAGATTTGTAACTCAATAGAAAAAGCAACCTTATATGGACAATACTAAGTTATCAGGAGATTAGAAAACAGGTGTTTAGGTATATTTTGTCGATTTCGTGACTTTGATTTCTTAAACTTTACCTTTTTTTGTTATGTTTATTTCTTAACATAACAAGAACAAACATTTCAACGTCCCTTTTATCAAAAATTTTAATAATAACTTTTAGTTTTTATAGTATTCTCAGTCATAGGTTATGTTAGGTTGAAGTGACAGCCTTGTACAGTAAATCTCATTTAAGCACATATATTAATCAGTTTTTATATTAGGGATGAATACTGTCAGTTACGTCAAACTTGAAGCACCACTCAAAAGATGAAACTTCCTTACATCTAGTCCACAAACAGCTTCCATATGAGAAGATGTGAGTTCCCAATCTAGTAGAATGGAATCTGTTAACTCTATAAACTTGACTATATCCGTAACTTGAAAGAATAAAAGCTATATCAGATCAGTTAAAAAATGGGCTAAACGATTTTGAATTTGATGCATGAATAATGAATCACAGTTTTCTTCTTATCCACAGAACCACCACCCCAATAAAAGCCGTTAGATGTTTAAGTCAGTCTTATTGCAGTCCTTAATATGCAGTGACCAGGTATTTATATTTAATTGTCAGTTTAGCTACTGCAAGAGAAATAACAATTTAAAGGAAAAAAATTAGCTGCTTTGGCAAGTTCGCTCGATTTATAGTTATCCGATATATATTTGTATCTAGGTACCCATATGAGTATACAGAATACAGAAGCCTATAAAACATATTGGGAGAAGCTTGGTATTCTGGAAGTACAAGAAAAACAACTCTATCGGACATTAGAGTTTTCAGTGCAGTTTCCTATTCAAGATGCTTGCAACATTCAGAAAGCGAAACTGAGCAACTCATAAGAGAAGCCCAAAATTCTTAAACAAGAGAGAGGGACAATACTAATGAATATCAGAAGATACGGCAGTTAAAGTGAGATACTAAGATTAACTATTTTCTAAGTATTAGAAATATTTTACTGCCAACTTTGTCATTTAGTTTGAAGTTTTCAGTGTGAAGTTTTTATCCTGTTAGCAGCGACTACTCTATCCAGAGCCCAGTAAGCTTTTCTTGATATGAGAGTGTTCTGGACCAGCGGCTTGCAGTTTTAAGTCTATTTGCGATTCACTTCTTTTACAATAAGTACAATAAGCTTCGTTATCATTATGTCATTTTCAATGTCAAATATTGTCATATGTAGTCATATGATATCATATTCGCATTCTTGTCATGTAAAGAAAACGCATTCGACACACCAGTCAATTATAATTGTCATTCAAAATGACTTAGTAAAAGCAAGACATTAGTCTTATTTCCTTTAAAACTGCACAGATTGCAATGAAACGATAGATGTCTTCCGTGACTTTCGTAAAGAGCATATTTGAGTCTAAGCAGTTCAATTTGGAATTCAAAAATTGTACGTTCACTTATGTTTTTCGGAGTGTATTTTCATTGAAGTAGTTTGATTATAGTTTAATCTGCAATACTGTAAGTTCGCACAATATATCAGAGTTCCAAATTCTTTATAATATTTAAGTATAAAAGATCATTTCGTTTTTTTTGGAAATATTCTATACTATACATTTTTTTGGTTAGTGAATGGCTTTGTTAGTATTTAATTTCTTTCTTTATTATTGTTTATTTTTTTTGGATTTCACTATCCTGCGAAATGAAGTATCTAATGATTGCGTTTTTATCACATTCTCATACTACTATGACTTTAATGTTTTATAAATAAATAGCGGATGTAAAAATTACAACGATTAAAAGAAATTTGTTCTAGGAATGTCGCATTATTCATACAACATTCAATACAAATGTACCGGTGATAACACGGTTTTCATATCTCGTCATATATCTCAATTGATACAACTACAAATGATTAAGTGAATCACATTGAATATATATACAAATTGTATAGAATTAAATTGAAAAAAATTGCTTTGTTTTCAAAATATTTCTTAACT